TAACACAAAAGGAGCTTTGGTGGAGAGAGCTACAAATCCTCCCTATCCACTTACTCACAAAGCCATTAAAGCTAAGCATTTCCACAAGGAAATCCCAGCTTACCCTACCATAGGCTTTCTCATAGTCTAACTTAAGAACCATACCACTCACACGAGCCTTATGAATCTCATGAATGACCTCATGATCTGTTGGGGATCATTGCATGGAAAACAAAAAAATTCTACGCACACACAATGATCTACCCATGGAGATGCATAGCAACGAGGGGAGAGTATGTCTATGTACCCTCATAGACTGTAAGAGGAAGCGTTTCACAACGTGGTTGATGTATTCGAACTTCTTTGTGCTTCAACCGATCAAGTACCGAACGCACGACACCTCCGCGTTCAGCACACGTTCAACTCGATGACGTCCTCGCCTTCTCGATCTAGCAAGAGAGGCGAAGTAGTAGATGAGTTCCGGCAGCACGACGACGTGGTGACGGTGTTGGTGAAGAACAATCTCCGCAGGGCTTCGCTAAGCACAACGGAAACTAAGACGGAGGATAAACTAGAAGGATGGAGTTGCCGGCACACGGCTTGGTGTATCTTGATGTGTCCCGGGTGCTAGCCCTACCCCTCTATTTATATGTTCAGCCCTGGGGTCGAAACTTGGAGTAAAAGCCTCCTCAAAGTCGGTTTTGCCCGCAAGGAAGAGTCCTTCTTGGACTTCCAGGACCATATGCCACATTCCTTGGCGTCTGGCCTAGGGCCAGACGCCAGGATCCCCGGCGTTTGGCCCCTGGCCTCCGCAAAACTCCTTTTGCACCGACCTAAAGCCCCATGGGCTTTACCCCTTGGCCTAACCATATCATCATATATATCAATCTTTACCCATGAACCATTCCGGAGCTCCTTGTCATGTCCGTGATCTCATCCGGGACTTCAAACAACATTCGGTCAACAACATACATAACTCATATAATACTATATCGTCAAAACGTTAAGTGCATGGACCCTACGAGTTCGAGAACTATGTAGACATGACCGAAGACACCTCTTTGGTCAAGAACCAATAGCGGAACCTGGATGCCCATATTGGCTCCCACATATTCCATGAAGATCTTTATTGGTCGAACCGTTTTGACAACATACGTAATTCCCTTTGTCTATCGGTATGTGCTACCTCCTGAGCTTGCGTTGGTTTTCCCTTGAAGAGGAAAGGGTGATGCAGCACAGTAGCGTAAGTATTTCCCTCAGTTTTTTAGAACCAAGGTATCAATCCAGTAGGAGACTACACGCAAGTCCCTCGTACCTGCACAAACAAATAAGAACCTCGCAACCAACGCGATAAAGGGGTTGTCAATCCCTTCACGGTCACTTACGAGAGTGAGATCTGATAAATATAATAAGATAAATATTTTTGGTATTTTTATGATATAGATTGCAAAATAAACAATGATAGAAATGGCTAGTTGACAGGAAACTAATATGATGTAAAGTAGATCCGGGGGTCATAGGTTTCACTAGTGGCTTCTCTCAAGATAGCAAGTATTATGGTGGGTGAACAAATTACTGCCGAGCAATTGATAGAAAAGTGCATAGTTATGATGATATCTAAGGCAATGATCATGAATATAGGCATCACGTCCGTGATAAGTAGACCGAAACGATTCTGCATGTACTACTATTACTCCACACATCGACCGCTATCCAGCATGCATCTAGAGTATTAAGTTCATAAGAACAGAGTAACGCATTAGGCAAGATGACATGATGTAGAGGGATAAACTCAAGCAATATGATATAAACCCCATCTTTTTTTATCCTCGATGGCAACAATACAGTATGTGCCTTGCTGCCCCTACTGTCATTGGGAAAGGACACCGCAAGATTGAACCCAAAGCTAAGCACTTTCTCCCATTGCAAGAAAGATCAATCTAATAGGCCAAACTAAACCGATAATTCGAAGAGACTTGCAAAGATATCAAATCATGCATATAAGAATTCAGAGAAAAATCAAATAATA